AATACAAAAGGAATCTAGTAAAATGCTTAGCATACCGTGCCTCAGCTATTTACTATAAAGGAAGAGTGAGCCACTATCCGTGATCTGCTTAGTAGGAATGGTTACCATAATTAAGCACACGAATATTAGGAGGATTAAGACAACAATGCCAGCAGTTCCTAAGAAGCAAATATTCTTGAAGCTGGAATTTAAGAGTGGTATTGCCAGTGAGATCATCACACAACGCATAAAAAGAGTCTTGTATCAGGCATTCCTACACGCTAAATTATGTCCCGCCTTCTACAACCACCCGATTCTAGGTGCAAGAAATAAAGACAAACTGCCTGATTCTGCCACTTCTATGTGCATTTATCAATTGAACTGCTCTTGTGGAGCTAGTTACATTGGGTGTACAATGAGGCAGTTCCATCGTCGAATTTCTGAACACCACCAATCATGGTTGAACAAGGGATAAATTAAAACTATAAAGAGCTCCATACTTCCACACTTAGTTGACACACGACATCAAGTGGTTACTGGAAATGCCTTCAAAATCATTCATCAGATTCCAAATAATTTATCTCATAAATTACGCATTCGGTTATTTCACACAGCAGAGGCGATTGTAATCTACCTTCACAAATCTAACCTTTGTATCCAAAAGAAGTTTGTTTGACCACTTTCATTACCGTGTGCCATCAACATGATGTAACTTTGAGGTTTATTTTGTACACTTTTTCCCCTTCCCCTTGTTTCTATCAAGATTCATATTTCCAATTTTAGTAACCCTATTGATTATTTACATGATTACTTCCGAAACATCACCACTTGATTGGTAATTTGATTAAATTGTAAAAACAATGCATATTAGTGTAAAGCCCAAGATGAAGACGAAGCTAATTGAAAAGGTATATATTTCTTCGCTTGCTCAATTAGTCTTTTTCTAAATTAGAAAGAACTTCAGTTGTGAAGTGTAGAAAAACAAAGCATAAGACAGAAATGGAAAAGTTATTCAAATTCACTGGTTATCTCATCTGAAGTTTATACAGTCAACTTTCTCTCCAAGGATAGTTCTCAAATAAGTCGTATAGTTTATTAATGAGACTTCTAATATCATTCAAACCTTGAATAAGGCATATGCTGATAACATATCATTTAGAATAATAGTAGAAGGTTTACAATGTAACCATCCAACTCAGAGAATTTAACTTATAGGTGATTTATTGACATTTTATACAATAAACAATTTTTCTCACTTGAATAATATAGAAACATGTGAATGATACACTAAAGACATTATGTTCGATGATTGACGGCAACCTGTAGATATCTCTGACTTACTTATATTATTTTATTATTTGTCCCTTGGGTTCCTAGTGGAACATAGCGATGCAGTAGCACGACTCCATTACACTCTCTTCTCTCCAGTATTTTCATCCTCGCTCCACCACTGCCAACAAGCTTTCATTTCTTCCTCACACGATCTCCTCAATGTCACCCTCGCCTCAGACGCTCAACTCGTCGTTTCCCATCTACGTTCCACTCGAACAACTGGCCTGGTATGTGGTGTCCCCAATCCGTCTACTCAGTGCATGCCCAATTTATCTCCACTTTATTCTACTGCATATTTGTTTGGCGATAAGTTGTTGGTTGGGTCGTTATCCGGCCAGAGCTTCTCCTTGTTTATTCTTTTTGACCGTTTCAGCTTCAGTATCGAGCCAGCGTAAGCAGTTGTTAATGAATATCTGTAGTTTGTTGGAAATGCTTTTCGTAATGCGCCAAGTCTCTGAGCCATACAGAAGCACTGACTTAGGTATCTACTTAATTGAATCTCATCAACAAAGAGTATCTGTAGATTCAAGCGAGATAGGGGTTGATTAACTTCGAAATCTTTTTCACTATAAATGCCAAAAATCAGTCCTGGAAGTAATGAAGACTCCTATACTCTTGATGACTATTTTCTTTAAGTTCTGAGTGCAAAATCCTTGAGAAAATGGCTTCATTATTAATCGTGATCAAAACTATTAGTTCCTTGAAGTTTAATTCCAAGATTTCAGATCATGTGTCAGCAAGATTTCTGCTGGAAACCACCCTGTGAAATCTATAGATTCTAACTTCTCAAGTTACGCATTAGTAGTACATTTGGTTAGTTCATGATACCTTTTTGTCAGAGATTACATCTTGTGATCTTGGCTGAATGATTTCCAATGGAAATCCTGTCGACTAGCAATTTGTAAGTCATTTCCAAATTGATCATTCTGATTAAGGTATACTAGTCTATGCAAGTAAACTAGACGGATGTAGCTGTATAATCTGAATTTGTTTAGGCACTTGGCCTCGAACAAGGGAAGCGGCCTTCTAGTGTATAGATCACTCTCATCTGTCTGGTGAAATCTACAGGTTGATCTTAGTGCTTTATAAATCCTCAACTGTAAAAATCATTAGATTAGTTCACTACCAAATCTGTAGTGCACAAAATGTGAACGGCACTAGCGTTTTGACGAGATTTATATTGTTCTGTTTAACTTTTCTTGTTGACTAGTGGTCACGGAATGAAAACATGAATATTGGCTTAGAGTATATATCATTCTTAACTTCATTTCTATTCCCTATTTTAAAACAAACTCTCCTAGAGACTTGAGTCAAGACTATGATGTCAACTTCACCAAATTAAAATGTATCTTGAGTGTACATTTAGAAATAATCATCAATCATCTACAGTTTGTGTCTGTTGCGTAGCATTTGACATTTATTGTGCATGGGCTATTCTCAGTAATTATAAGTTTTGACATCAAAGATTTTCAGGTAAAGAATTTAATGAAATCATTATGCAGTTCATGTTAGGTATACTTCTGGCGCGGAATCATGCTGCTATCCACCCCTAGAAAAATATCAAACCGCATCATCCTGGAGAAATTAAACGATGCACTGGATTCAAAATTACCACCCGAACAGGCTGGTTGGATTCAGGAAGTACAAATTATGTATGGACCAAATTGCAACACTACATTACGCATCATCATGGAAAAGAGTATGGAATCGCAGTCAGCTCAGTTCAATCTCAACTTCATCGGCTTTGAAAAAGCCTTTGACAGCGTCGACCGAGAAGTAATTTAGCAGGCTGCTGCTCCAACACTACGGAATACCACAAAAATTTATCAACCTCATTCAACAACTATATGAAGACGCCACATGCCAACTACTTCACAATGGAAAGCTCAGTGACGCCACTGAAATAAACTGAAGACCGGAAGGAGTAAAACAAGGCTGTCTACTATCACTAATGATCTTTGTGATTGTGGTCGACTGGATCATGGAGCAAACCGTGAGTAGCGAGAAGAGGGACATACGCTATTTGACCGGGGTGGAGATCCTAGAAGATTTGGATTTCACCGATGACTTATGTCTAATATCACTCAAACTTGAAAATCTACAGGCGAAAACTAACAAGTTGACGGAGGAGGCTGCGAAGACAGGACTTCAAGTAATGATGATACCTAACCAACAACAACAACGGACATTAATCACCATCCACGGGAGACACTTAAAGGAAGTAACCTATTTCACTTTTCTGGGCAGGCAGCATCGTTTCAACTACAGGTGACACAGACACAGACACGGACGTCAAAGAAGCCAGGATCGGAAAGACAACAAGACAGGCTTTCATTAACCTGAAACCAAAAACTATAGATATTCATCAACAACTGCCTACACTGGCTTGTTATCGAAACTCAAATGACCAGAATAATGAGAATAAGAAAGGAGGAACTCTAGCTGAGTAACAGAACCAACACAGCAAGAACCTATCACTCAACAAACATGCAATAGAAGGAAGTGGGATGGATTGGGTGGGACATGAACTGAGAAGACCAATTGGGGACATCACGTGTCAGTCCAGTTGCTCGAGTGTAACGAAGATGTGAAACGACGAATTGTGCGTCTGAGTTGAGGGTGATGTGTAGGAGATGGTGTGAGGAAGAAATGAGATGTTGTTGGCAGTTGTGGAGCCATGTGCAATAGTTTGCAGAGAAGAGAGTGTAATGGAGATGTGCTACTGAATCTGTATGTTCCACTAGGAACCCAAGGGGTAAATGCCATTTCTACTACTTATAACTGGTTTAAATTGCAGGCTGTTTGCAGCTGAAGAGAAGTCATGAAATGAAATGAGCTCATTTTATTTATAAAATGTCTTTTTTCTTGTATTGTTTCAAATGATTCTTTTACCGTAATCATGAACATTCAATGTAATAAATGATAGATAGAACATCGAGGAACTAAATGTTAACGTAGTTTCTTTCAAGAAACTCAACTATCCAGAAACAACAAGTCAAACTGTAGTATCATGGGTCTGTTCCAAAATTCATGCTGAAAGCTTTTCAAATTGACAAATGGCAAATAATCTTTTCAATAATGAAAGGATTCTAAGAAGGAATTAAGCTTCCAGCTTCGTTCTAGTAAATGAACTACGGTTTCTTAATAAGGTAATTGAATGCTTGAAAAAATGTGTTCACTTGAGCAATCTGATAGCACAAAAGTCATCCATTTTAACCTTTCAACTTCTGAGGACAATAACCTTTAAGCCTTTGATTTGATTATCAATTTTACGTTACATGGAAATGATCCTGTACTTATGTGAGGCAGCCAGAAATGATCAATTATCAAAAAACATTGATTAACTCGATATTTCTTCTCTATATAATGATGGTTTGGGCCTGAATAGTAATGGTAGATTACTAGTATCATAACAACAATGATACCCATTGCATAAGAGGCGACTATTATGCTCCAGTGGCTTAGTGGGTAACGTTCTAGAGTTTAAAGCAAACAATAATCCGGTACTAGCTTCAGCAGGAACAACATCACTCATTGCCGTACAAGCATATCCACCTGACGAGTCCTAAATAGAACGAAACAAATAACAAGGAAACAATTGATTGTGTTATTTCAAAATATTACTTGTTTTTTTTTGACAGTTTATTCATTTCTCATCTCTCATTGCTTTTTGTTTACTTCCTTGAAAGGTTAAATATGATGAATATCTTGCAGAATATGAAAAAGAATGTTTGGCTTGTGAACAGTTAAGGATGAAAGTTGAGGTATACTATGTGTTTATTTGATGTTTTTTTGTAATTATGATATATAATATATGATGCCTTATCAATTAAAGCAAACCTTATTCACTTCGGCTATGTAATCAGATGGTATTACATCAATAACTAATATTATACTTTCTCAACTTCCAAATTATAGCCTCGTTGTGTAAAGTTAGTCAAGATTGATGATATGATGAACAAAAGTTGGTAAACATTGAAGGTTATTCTGTTTAAAATTCTCTTATGAGCCTTGTTCGCATTAACACAGTAAACAATAAGCCATGTTTAATGTATGTGGGCTAATAACACTTGGTGGTTGTCCAAACACTAATACATGAAACCGGACTCGAACCTAGGATTTACCTATTGGAAATTAAGTTTCCAGACTAATGAGTCAAAGCTACTCTTCTGTTCTATTAGTATTTTTAAACTGAAATTACAGAATATATGTTACGTTAAGTCAATTGAAATGTCAAAAAAGAGGTACATTCTCTTCCATAAAACCGCTGAATAATTTCAGGCTTAAGTAAAACATGTACTACAGTTTTGGGGTTCTTTTTCATTTGGTTATTATATACATTCTAAGCATATCACGAAATTATATCTCTGTGCAACTTCATGCTTAAGAATTGGTAAGTATGGTTTGATTTATTATTTACTGTATGCTTTGGAGTGATTTCAAAGGTCACTCTAGCAACTGATGAAACAACCAATCACTTTTCTCTATTCTATGAAAAATTATCTTTCCAATTAAGATACCACAACCTGATTGGTTATTTTGGTAATTGTTAGGGTTACCTTCAAAGATGCTCATGCTTTCTAGGACCACTGTTTAAAGATAGTAAGTTTCAGCGACGAATTTATAACACAGTTGTACTGAAGTAATTATAGGTTAGCTGTAAGTATATTAAATTCCTTCACTTTATTGATAAGTATTCCAAAATGTTTCCTCAGTTATATATATTGGAACTTGAAGCTAACTGTGGTTTATTTGTATGGACCAAATTCATTGATGTCTGTTGTTATATAAGCTCATATGCAGTCATCTCAGTGTAGTAGGTGACTTAATTTTAAGGGTAGAACATTTGACAGTGGCTAATAGTAGAGTTCAAGAATTTGATATGATGAGTATTGTGTTTCAGTACTAATTGGAACAAACAAACATTACTCACTGAGAAGAAGGTGCATCTAACTGACAAGTACTGAATGAGACGAAATGCGCATCCTAGTTTCCACTATGAAGTAAACTATAATGATAAAATGTGTTGAAAATTGATTATCAGTGGAGTCTTTCTCAGTATCCATTACTTAATAGCAAACTTTATTGGTACAAAAGTGTTTAAAAAATCTAACTGTGTACTAATTCTTAACAATAAAACTTTTCAGATAATTTCAGAGTTTTACTTCAAAGAAAACTTATTCATTATTGAATTATTAAATGAAATGACTATAATTGTCAGTCTGTAAAAGTCTGTAAAATATTTAAATCATACTGTTGTCGTATTTTGTCTTGGATAAGTTTCCTGCTCCAATCATAGGAAGATGGTTATCAATGGAAGAATACAATACAATACTTACGACAGAAATTTACATTAATTGTGTTCATAGGAAGTGAAAATTTGAGGTACATGAAGATATGTTTATTGATTTTTGGTTGATATTCATTATGGAAACTTTACAGCAATTTATAGTTAGTTAACCACTTCTCAGCAATGCGTACTCATGACACCCTCGCCGCACCAAGGACGTTCATGTTCTGCTGCCAGCACTATGCCATTGAAATACTAGGTCGGGATCCAGTATTCCATATTTTTTTATACCTTTGTCAGTTCGAGATATAGCATGACCTTCATCCAACGCTTCAACACTACGGAGTGCCACAAATGTTTATCAACATCATTCAACAACTATATGAAAACGCCACATTCCAAGTCATACACTATGGAAAGCTCAGTGACGCCACTGAAGTGAAATGAAGACAGCAGTAGGACAAGGCTGCTTACTATCACCAATGATCTTCGTGATTGTGGTCGACTGGATCATGGAGCAACCCATGAGGAGCGAGAAGAGTGGCGAACGCTAGATCCAAGAAGACTTGTATTTCGCCGATGATTTATGTCTAATATCACACAAACATGAAGATCTACAGGCGAAAACTAACCAGTTGACACAAGAGGTAGGGCAGCGAAGACGAGACTTCTAGTGAACGTAGAGAAGACAGAGGTGATGAAGATATCCAACCAACAACAGCATCAACAACAAGCACCATTAACAAGAGAGACCTAAAGGAAGCAGTCTCTTCCATCTACCACTTAGGCAGCATCGTTTCAACTACAGGTGACACAGGCACAGACGAGGACGTCAAAGAAGCCAGGATCGGAAAATACAGCAAGACAGGCTTTCATTATCCTGAAACCATTGTGGAGATCTCCTTCAATGCACTCAGCATAAAGCGTGAACAACATCCGGATTTTCAACACCAATGTTGAGTCAAGTAAGTAAGTCAGTGCTTGTATGTGATGGTTGAGAGACTTGGCACGTTACGAAAGGTATTTCTAACAAACTACAGACATCCATCAAAAACTGCCACTTACGCTAACTCGATATTGAATATCAGATGGTCGGAAAGAATAAGTAACAAGGAACTCTGGTATGGCAATGAACCAACCAAGAACCTACCACTCAGCAAATATGCAGAAGGAGAGAGTGGAGATGGATTGGGCATACACTGAGAAGGCCAACTGGGGACATCACGTGCCAGGCCATTTGCTCGAGTGGAATTCAAAGGGGAAACGACAAGTTGGGGATCTTAACTGAGGGTGACATGGAGGAGGTCATGTTAGGAAGAAATGAAAACTTGTGAACAGTTGTGGAGTGAGGTTGAAATGACTTCAGAGAATTGAGTGGAGAGGAGGCATGCTACTGAAGCTGTATGTTCTACTAAGAACCCAAGGGAGAAATAGTAATGATAATAATCCAACACCATCGCTGAGTGTTTGTCTTATGCATATGAATTAATGTGTTGCATTAGACTAATAAATGAACTTCACTGGGAAGAATTGCTATAGGCAATAAACAATACATTGGCTTAAAATGTTGTATCAGCAACATAATGTCTGTAATAACAGTGAAACTAACTTAAAAACGTTTTAACAATTACGTAACACCATTCAATTATTATTTTAATTGATTAGTAGCTTATGAATTTTATGGATATGAAAAAAAGAGGGAAAACTAATCCCCCTACTTTCAAAAGCGTTCAATTTCATATGAGGTTGGGAATTTATACATTTAAATGAGGGGAAAAAATGCTGTACACATTTTAATCTGAAATTTTATGTTCTATGACGTAATAGTAGTAATAAGTTATGATATAATTTGAGATTTAGTTGAAAATGTTAAAGTCATCTGTGGAATAAATTGACTTTGTAATATTTCAACTCAATTTTAAAAGTTGATACTTCGATTTGCATTAATTCAGCACTGTTTGTCCTACGTGTTACTGTCCTACAGAGAGATTAAGTAATCAGTAGGGAACTCCAATGTAGATTTCATGCTTGTTGGTAGTCGTCAGCAATAGGTAACTGGAGCTTCAAGATAGCTGACATCACCTAAGAAGTTGAAATTTGTATCACCAAGTGCTTTAGCTAAACAATTTGTCATTGGGCTGTTTTAGGTACAGTTGACCTGTCGTACTGGTAGATTAGACATATTAGTTTTTCACCGGATTTTATATTGTTCAGTTTTTAGTGCTGACGAGATTCTCCTAGTCACTTTTATAATGAAACCTCATGGGATCTGAGATCTTTTTACAGATTCAAAGTTGTAGATATGCCTTGGTGACAAATGTTAAATTTGGAGAAACTACGCAGGCGAAGCAGAAGTCCTTACCTACCTAAGCATTCAAAATAAATGGAACTGTTGTAAGATTACTCCTAATTCTTGCGGTAAATGCACCTCTTTCTGCTGGTAATGCTTTTATTTTACCGCATACTAATATACTTAAAAAAGATTAAGCAACATCGAATACTGTTTTCATCTTGGTTTAGTGTAACGGAATCCACGACACATGTTTTATCCTATAACAACGAGAGCTTATCAGTATAAAACAAAGATGGCAACTGATACCCGTTGTATAATAGGTGACTTTCATGTTCTAGTGACCTGGTGGATAATGCTTTGTCATTCGAAGTGATGAGTACTATGTTTGAGGGGGAGGGAAGTGATCACAGTGGTTGTGACAGCTGAAAGTGTTTATACGAGAAATCTTAGTAGTATCGTTGATATGATGTACAAATTTTTCAGCCTAAAACGCTTCACTAGAATAAAATCTATTCAATGAATAGTCTCAGACAAAACGAAGCGTGAAACCTGTATTCCACTACTAGCCACTACTACTCACTAAGAAACCTTAAATGTCATTTAGTGAGCAAGTTATTGAAACAATAATCAGGTAAAATTTTAGAGTCCACTCTACCGGATGGAGTCAATAAACTTTTATTTGTTAGGACTTAATACTTTGGAAAATAGTTGATGTCCTCATGGTATTGAATTGGCGTGGCTTTCGCACAAAGTTCTCTGCTGATTTTTCTGTCTACCTAGCTGCCAAACAAAATCAATGCAACTGATAAAAACTTCAAACCGTTGGTGTTTCCAAGTTTTCAGGTGTTACTAAGTTATGTCCGATATATATGATAGAGATCAGTAGATTGAATTTTTCTCATACGCCAAAAAACGTTGGTTTTTTTTACAATTTTTGTTGACTATTAAGTGTCTTCACAAAAAAAGATGATGGACTGTCAATTCATCTTAAGCCAACTGCAGTCGTGATGTATTTTAAGTGGTTGTAATAAGGATGAGTTATGGAATATCTTATCTAATACTTTGTTATTCTAAAAGTCCTCCGAAATCAATATTTCAGTAACCAAGTCTGCCTACTATTTGGTCCTATTTAACCTCTACTCTGTAAGTCCTACCATCCTGAAGTCTATTCCTATATTAGC